AAAAAAAAAACTAGTTAGAGGACAAGCTAAAGAGAATAATTTCATTCCCTATTAAAAGAGCCAGAAAGTCCTTATTAATACATTAGTCATTTTTCTCTGATACCCTTTTATCTTAGATTTACTTCTTCCATAATAAAATACTGTAGAGTTCCCATTCAGAGTGAAAAATGGCTCTCTGTATCCCATGTACTAGATACATGTCTTATTATTTATTGGGTTTCAACTTTTTATGGGCTCTTTTCACTCTTAAAAAATTATCTTGGGGTGCCTGGGTGGTTCACGTGGTTAAGCGTTGGACTCTTGGTTTCACCTCAGGTCATGATATTAGGGTCGTGAGATGGAGCCCAGCTTAGGGCTCTGTGCTCAGTATGGAGTCTATTCGAGATTCTCTCTTCTTCTCCTTCTCCCTACCCTCTGCTGCTCCTCCTCCACTTGCACGCTTGTGTATCCTCCCACACACGAGCGCGCGCGTGAGCTCTCGCAAATAAATAAATTTTAAAAGATTTTATCGTGACGGCCTTCAGCTCAGGTCATGATCCCGGGGTCCTGGGATTGAGTCCTGCATCAGGCTCCCCCTGCTCTGTGGGGAGTCTGCATCTCCTTCTGCCTGCCACTCCCCCTGCTTGTGCTTTCTCTCTCTCTGTTAAATAAATAAATAAAATATTTAATTAAAAAAAAATTTATCCTTACTGTAAAAACTAAAAAAATGTATAGCATAAAGGTTGACGTTCCATCTTAAACACATCACCTCTCAGGTTATATGCCTTCTCACAGGCACTTACACTTCTCTGCACAGATAACTGTTAACTAATAAACAGTTTGGTGTGTATAGCCTTCCGTTAATTTTTCTGGCTTATTGTATATGTAAAATGCATAAAATGTATACTTTTAATTATCATATACAATCATTTAATCATATTAAAATATTTCACCAAATTTGTCTTGAAGCTTTTTCCATCAAAATATGTAGTTTTTGTTTAATCACATAGTATGGCTATTCTATCATTAATAAGCATTTCCTTATTGATAAACCTTTAGGTTTATTTCCACATTTTGTCTGTTGTAAACAGTTTTGTGAACATAGCTATACTTTATCTTTGACTACTTAAACAAGTGTATTTCTTTAGAATAGTTCATTGTAAGTAGAATTTCTGTATAAAAGAGCATATACACATTTGAAATTTATGAATATTGCTCAATTGCCTTCTGAAAAGGCATTCCATATTTTTATTCTCAAATAGTGAATTAGTTACTCTTTATCACATATTACTCATGTTGGTTACTATTCATGTCTTTTAATACTTGCCAAATAGACTAAACATGATTTTCACTGTGTGTGTGTGATTTTTTTTTTTTTAAAGATTTTATTTATTTGTTAGCGAACACAAGTGGGGTGGGGGGGAGGGTCAGAGGGAGAAGCCAACTCCCCACTGAGCAGGGAGCCCAGCACAGGGCTCAATCCAAGGACCCCGGGATCACAACCTGAGCTGAAGGCAGATGCTTAACCAACTGAGCCACCCAGGTGCCCTGATTTCCACTGTTTTAATGTACATTTGTTTAATTTTGGGTGCAGTCACATCCTCCTCCTTGTAATGGTTTGCCATTTGTGTATCTCTGCTGTGAATTACCTGTATATATTCGTTGCCTATCTTCTCATTAAAAGTTCTTTCCTACTCATTTCTAGGAATGTGCTGTTTATATATCTTCACAGTTTGTCCTTAAATGTATTCTATTTGTTTTTCTTGCTCATAATGTAGAATGTTTCATTTTAAATTATATTAGCTTCCCATTTTTCTTCAGCACATTAAAAAAGGTACAGCAGTGAAACCGTCCTCATTTGTACTTGTTTGCCTGTTATATTCCTTATTGGACAAATAACCAGGGTTGTTGGGAAATAAAAGGATTTGATACTGCAAGCAAATAATTCAAAGCCTGGAAGGCTAAACAATGAAGAGGTGGTTGGGATGCGTGAAATCATAGTCAATAAGTTAAGAGGGGAAATATTTACAGATTTAATGGAATATTTACAAACAGAAGACATGACCTGATGGAGCTCATTTCTTCTGGAATTATTTTGTCTGTTTAAGGATACTGTGAACTACTCTGTGTGTATAATATAGATTAGAGTATGCCACGGTATCTCAATTGGTTTAACATACCTTGATGAATTCGGTCAGTTCTACCACCCTCTCCCCGCTTAAAGAAAAGTATATTTTATATATATATAACATTCATATTATATGTTAAAGGTATTATCTTTGTATTAATATCAACTAATTATATATTTAGCAATTTTTTTAAGTTCTCATACCATATTTACTTGAGTGTGTTTAACCTTACCATTACATAAGCCTTCCAGCCTTATTCATATGTTTACAAACATCAAAATCTTAAACAAATAGTTTTTGTTTGATTCAGTCAGTTGCTGTAAAAGTATTGGGTCAGGGTGGTAGGAGTCTTTTTGTTGGAGAATGCTTTACATTTGAGGAACTTTACATTGAAGTTTGTCTTTTAGTGAGTCAATGCAAAACATGCTTCAGAATCTATATGGAAAAAATGTGTAAATTAACCTGATGTTACATGAGAATGTGGCTAAGACTTTGTTTTTAGATTTCTCTAAAATTATAAAGATCAGTTTACTTGTCATTTAAATCTTATGAATTATGCAACATGCGTATTGATAAAATTTAAATCTTTATTTTAGAGCAATATACTTTGCTGCTTATTCAAACTGCAAGGAAAAGTTGAATGGTGTATTTGATCCAGATTCTACCCAGGTACACATGATTTCAGCTGCAATGGCAGGTATGAATATATAATATTAAAAAGCAAAAAATTTTCCAAAACCTAGAGACTTAATATTGAATTATGATTTTACATTATATAGTTAAGACTGTGCTTTTCATTGATTAGCATCTACATACATGATTCTTATATTTATTAATATACAGTAAATTTGATCAGGAGGTATACTTAAAATCTGTTATAAGTTGGCATTTTTGTAATCGGGTTTGTGATAGCATACAGGTAATATATTTACATTGTCTTGTGTAGTCCACTGAATATTTAGTGATGACTTTTGACAGTTTAAAGAATCCAACCATAATTACACTATAAATAAGTTATGCAGCTGTAATTTACTCTTCTCTCCTCAATTTCTGTTAGTGCCTTTTCCCTTTTTGCTGCATGTTTTGGCTTCTGTCTGAAATGTGCCGGCAGTTCTTGGTAAAGTATTCATTTTGTCCTGTGCTCAAATGCTGAAATTTTTGTGATGTATTACTGATAACCTAGAGTTACTGTCATGTATGTGTTTTGAAAAATATGTTTAGCATTCCATATAAATCACACTAGATAGTACTTGAAATTTAGGCACTGGCTCTGTGTACATGCTTGCTATAGAAGTGTTTTCCAACATCATTGTTGAGTATATATGATTCTGACTTAAAGCAACTAGTTCTGGGCCTCTGTACTGCCTTAAAGATAAACTAGGAGATTGATTTGACCAGTCTGGTTCTGGAATCATTTGTTGCAATGCGTGTTAGACAAAGCCGTGACCTTTGGTTTATTCTCTGCAGTTTTCTGAGATTCGTGGTATATTTAACCGTACCTCACATTTCCAAATTATGCTATGACTATAAAGCAAATTATTACTACTTTCATCAACTGTTGAGCAGTAAATTGAGTGTCAATTACATGTTTAATAATGAGTGCCTTAAACTGTTAACCATTTTCTGTTTAGAAATAAATTGGATCAATTTGAACCACATACTTTAACGAACTAAGTGTAAGTTGGAAATAACTAATTTCTGAAAGGTCAATAGCCGTATAATCTACCATATACCTCACAAATTATTTTCAAGGCTTTTTATATTTGGTAATTGCTCACTGACTCATTGAAGTTTTAAAGCTGAAAGGTAAAAACCTGAGAGGTCAAGGTAGTGAAATACTCTTATTTACCCATGAGGAAAGATCTTGGGCAAATTATATAATTTATGCGAATTTCTCTTACCTTATCCTTGGAATGTAGGTTACTCTACAAAGATTTGGATTTTGAGAATTAGTTCTTTAGTACCATAGAGATCATCTAGTTACAACTAGAAAATTTTTTAATGTACTTTTTATAGATGTTGAATCTGGATATGATTTTTCCTCTTCAAATTTGAGTGGGTATAAGGTAAAAATTAATGGGCTAATTTCAAACTATATAACTGCTGTATTAGGATCTTTAAGAATATATTTCTGGATTACCAGTGTTTGTTTTTTAACCCCAGAAAATTATTAAAGAAATGTTAATCTTTTTTTTGTTTTGGAAGACGAAGAAAGTAGATGAGCAGTCATTTTTAGTTGAGGATAGTTATATATTCAGTAGTGCAAATTTAGGGTTTCAGAATATCTTAATTCCCAATGGAACATCTTTTTTCATTAGAACATCTCATCAGAATTTATTACTATTTTTGTATCATGTAATTTCAGTGGAATTGTCATTTTGCACTTTTCTCTCAAATGTGTACAAATGTCAACTCATAGTTTGTTTTTATATTGATACTATTTTCCACCTTGAATTCCTTGAATTTGTAAATTGATGGTCTTATCATTGCTCAGAGATTATTGCATTATATTCTTATTGTGTAATTTGAAAATACTTCTTCCATTTGTTTGCAGTTAAATTTTTCTGAGAATTGTGCTTTCAGAGAGCTTCCTTGCACTATTCATGAGCATTAACACATAGCTTTGCAGTTTTTATACATAACTACGTGGTTGGTGAAACTGAATGGTCCCATGCAAAGTCATTAAGGTAGCCTTTTGCCCCCTTCATTCTTGAAATTATCTAGACCAGATTGCTCTGGTTTTTCTTCAGGATCATTTTTAGAAGTCTTCTAAATATGAATTGGGGGTGCAAAGTGCTTAGAGGCAGTCGTGTGAAAAATCGTTTTTTAACTGGCTATTAAAAAAATGCTAACCTTGTCATCTTGGTATCAGAAAGTGCACTAAAATAGACTGTTTAATGATATTGCCTGCAAGATTTTGCCACATCAAACAACACACACATTAAGGATTTTAGTAACAGACCTTGTACATAATTTTTATTCCAGGTAGCCAGTTGATTTTGCATTTTATCCATATGAACTCAAGTGTTTAGGTAGTAAACCTTTTTTTTTTTTATCAAAATGACAGTTTATTTGAAGTGGATCTTAGTGTGGTTTGTTGTAGTGTTTCAAGGGAATACTATAAGAATTTATAAACCTAAATTTAGAGGTATAAATTGAAAAATTATTTCCACTTGGAAGGCTATTTAATAAAATTAAGTAATGTTGACTCTGTTTTACCTGCTTTTTTTTTTTCCTTCTCTACATGTAACCTTTGTTAGACTGAGAGTATTTGTTTTATCGAGGTTACTTGTATGTTTTTGTTAAAATGAACTTGCATATCCCTCTCTATATACCTAGACACAAGTGTGCATACAAAAAATAGTATGGTTTCTTTATAGTAATTCCCAGTTTTCAGAAATTTTTATCTGGAACATACAGACTTCTATATACAACATTACAGATTTTTAAATGAAAAGAATTCTGATTTTTATTGGATTATATATTCAGACAGTTATTGCTTAATTTTTAAAACACCAATAATGTAATCTTTTAACATATACTACATACCTGGTGGGTTTTATTTGCTTATAGCATTCACTGTACTTTTCAAGATACATTTTTCTGTTTGACTTAAAGTTTATTATTAAAGGTTAAGTTTTTACTCATTAAAGAGAAATTTTGTCTTGCCTATATATTTTTTAATATTTTATTTGTCCATGGCAGTTTATTCAGTCAAATGGGTAGTTGGACAGATGTTTTCTGTGTTTGTATATAAACATTCTTCCTGTTTTTTGTTTTGTAGAACACAAGAAATTAAATACAAAATAATCCAAAATATTCCATAAAAATGGATGTGCAATATTATTGGCCATAGTGCAAAAGGTGAAAGGTACAATTGTAGCAACATATACTTTAATATAAAAAAAATTATAAATAATTACAAAATGTTACTCGAAATATTCTGGGGGTTTTTTGTTTGTTTTTTTTAAGATTTACTAAGAAAAAAAGCTTTACTAAGAAAGTATAGAAAATTGTGATTTCACCTTTGATCATGGTAGGTAATGATTAGGAAAATGGGATATGATAATCCCTTCTAAATATTTTCTTAGATTCCCCCATTGACAAGGTTAGCATTTTTTCTTTAAGGCAAAATTCGTCTTTAGGTAAGTATTTGGACTCTGAAACTGCTGCAGATGGCAGAATTTTCAGTACTCGGTGCATTTTTTTTTTTTTTTTTAACTTATGGCCCATTCTGATATTCCTTTTTGTTTTTTAACTTAAAATTTTCAAAAAAAAGTTAGATCTCACAGTAAATATTTCTGAAATCCTTCCAATGGGATTCATTTTGTACACATGTTTCTGATGAGGTCACTGCTTGTTGTTATGATACAGAAAAGCCTGTGTCTATTTTAGGCATTTACTGTACATTTCTCCCGAGAAAAGAGTGAGATCGTGTCATCTCATGCTCCCCATCCGCAGGTCACTTCCTGTAGAAATATGGACTAACTTAAACCTCGTGAGTACTGATCTGAGCGTCTCTTGCAGCCTCTAGTTATAAGAAACACACCCTGGGAATTTATAATAGCTGTGGAATTAATAGAAGGCGGGAAATGAGCTTTTATTTCCTGAATTTGTGTGTGCATTCTGAGTATTTCATAAAACTTTAATTCTGATCCCTTTAGAATATTCCTTCTAGAAGGAAGAATGGGGTAACTTTTCAGTCATCGTGTAATAAAAGCCTGGGGTCTTCAGCTTGGCCATAATAGCCTTGACCTCAAAAGAATTTGATGACAGTATTTAAGATATACATAGTTGTAAATGGTATCATACCATCCTACAACTTTTAGGAAAAATAGTAGTTCTCTTTGCTTAACATAACATATTTTAAAAGTCTAATACAGTGCTTTCTATTCTCTTGTCTGTTGATACTTAGCTTTCTACTTTCTTGCAAAAACATTGATCTTAATACCTACCATTACTTTCCAATAAATGCAGGGTAAGAATATGTGGGACCTAAGCTGTTTTAGTTTTATTTTATTTATTTTTTTTTTTTTTGTAGTTTTAATGTGTTTCTCTTAGAAGGTTAGGTGGGCTTTGTTCTTACAGAACTTGATGAAATAAAAAGTACTGAAAATGCAATACTACAGGTATCACTCACTTAATGAAATAGACATTTTCAGCACGTTTCCTATAAGCAGGATTTCTGTTAATCTGGTTTACATTAACAGATGGAGTCTTAGATGAAGCAAATAAAAGTTGCATTTTGAAAGTTTAAAAAAAATTACTAATAAAATTCTAACCGCACTGCTAACAATATGGCCAGTACGCTGCCACTTTGCTTTCACGGACTAGAGCAATATTAATTCTTCTTAACCTACAAATTAGATCCTTCATACGCCTCTAAGTCAGTTTTAATGTTTAACAGGGTGCTCAGAATATTAATATGAACTAGGATATTATCAAAATTTCACAAAATTTAAATGCCAAAATAAAAAGTAATAGTAAATTTCTAAATTTCAGGTAAACTATTCCCAGTATCGTTGTATGTTTGTCTTAGAAGTAGGAAGATTTGTTTAGATTTGACTGTTGGCCAACTTCAGATTGCCTTACTATATATAATTAAGTTAGTGATAAATTTTTGCTTCTTCCCACTTGTTTCATTTCTTGAATTAATAGATTATATTTTTATAGGTTTAATTAGCTTAATAATGTCTAGTTAGTTTATTAGGTAGAGTGTCTGTGGTTAAGAGATTGTAAAAGCATAAAATTCTAGGACCAGAGTTTTAACTGTGGTAAAGACCAATAGCTAAAAACCTGTGGGTTATGCCTAGAATCTGTCTAATGTAATTGCTGGCATTTAGGCTAGTGTCTTTATTAAAAGCTGGCTTATTATTGGGAGAGTTGAGCCTCTAGTAAGCACAGTTACTGATAGTAACAGTTACAGAGTGATAAGATGACAACACTCTGACCTGAATTTTAATGTTTCCTGTCCCATAGATTAATTTGTATTTGGAAATGAATTTTAGTTAAGTGAGAAATACCTGTTGTTTGCGTCCTGTCATTGTTCATTAATATGTACAGAAAATAATTAAAAATTTTATTCATGGATATTTGAAAAATTCATTTCTAGTGATATTTATAAATATTGCAATATTTTAAAGTTTACAATATGGAGTTTTTTCAGCCTTTAATTGAGGAATTTTGTGACTTGGAAGAGTCTTAAGCTTGGGTACTAATATTTTTAGGAATAGAACTTCTATTTTTAAAAAAAAACTTTGATGTTCATCTTTTCAAATAAAGTATAGTAGATTGAGATTTTTACCTAGACAGGCCATTTTTTTTTAAAGTTTGATGTAAGGATTCCCAGTTTTAGGCTTTCAAAATTTAATGAAAAGCAAATTTTTTTTCTTAATTTCCACAGGATAATTAATAAAAACCATTGTGAATAATGCAGAATATTTTGTTGCCTTGTGCTGCTTTGCAGCCTTTCACTAATAAGCCCCCTAATATTACTATACAGACATTTAGCTAATACAAATATTTAGGTTTAAAAACAAAGAATCATTAAATAAGGGATATAGCCAGATTACTGATGTCTGGTGGACATTTGCTTTAAAATATAATTTGAATGTATTTAGTTTGAGTTTTTCAGTTAGGAAAATGAAGGTCAAGAAAAGAAAAAAAAATTCTTTAGCTTTATTCTCATTTAAGCCAGGACATGTAAGAAAAATTTTTCCAAGTAAAATATTTAAACAGATCCAACAGTTTCATATTTTTCTTCTCCTTTCCTTTTACCAAGAATTTATATATGAAAAGAAACTCTTATTTAAAAATGTTCCTGATAACCTGTCCAACACTTAAATTTTTATTAATTTAATACTGGCGCATACAAAATTGTTGGTCCCGTACTAGTTTTATACATTTGTATGTAGTATTAAAAACACTTGAGAGAAATGGAGACTATAGAACTATTCCAAAATAGTGAAAGGAGTTACCAAACCAAATTTTTATTCCATTATTCATGTTTTATAAATAGATACAATTTAAGCATCCCTTTGTGAGACATCTGGCTCTTTCTGTGGTGTTAAACAGTGAATTAGGAAATAAAATTTGAGTTAGCTAATTATCTGACATTATAGAAGGGAAAAGAACCTATGAGACCAAATTCTGCTTTGTAAACAATTTAGTAAAATTATTTTGCATTTTAGCTATACCTATATTGACTTTGAAAGCCAAGAAAAGGTTTATGATTGGTTCTGCACTATATGTTAACTTAAAAAACAAATTATTTTTAAGTGCACCACAGCGTTTTTCTTCCTGAAATAAACTTTACTCATATTAAATGTGCTGGTTCTATTCCACCTTTCTAAACACAATGTGCTTCACCTGCCTATTATTTGATAGAAAGTATTAAAATAGTTAAGATCCTTAGACATTTCTGCATGTAAGTTTTCATTGAATTTAAGGGCCAATTGAATAAGTACAGTTTGATGTAAGTAGTTCTTTGAAGTATGTGTAGTGATCTTAAATGTTCACAAGCAATATATTAAAACCCCGTTTTGTATAGATGAAGCAATTTTCATAAATTCCCGTTATCAAGATTGCATTTCATGTGCTGTTTTTCTGTAGCAGTAGGAAGCTAGAAAGTAAAAGACAAGCACTAGTCTAGAAACAACTGTTCCAGAGATCTTAATTTACTAGCTGGAATGAGCCATCTTAGGAGACCACCCTTCTGCACTGATAGTACATAGTACTTAAGTTTTAAAGTAAACTAGAACTACCTTCTACTCTGAGTTTCTCTCTCCAGTGTCTATAAAAGTGAGAGGGAAGTTCCAATGTGTAACTTTTTGAACCTCTGAGTTTTTGTATGTGTTTAAATGGATGAGAAGTAGATCTGTCCTATTAACCTTAACAGAAACCTTACTTCTGTGATTCCATTATTATAACAGTATTAGTAAGTATATGTTCATATAAAGCATTCATAAAGGCAGACAACAGTCCTTATTGTTATATAGCCAACCTAAGATCAAATAGAGTAAATGCTGACCTTTAGGTGGAATCCACTTTTAATGTAGGGATTTGGACCTCAAGTAGCTATTGTAGAGTTTGCATGCTAAAAAGCCCTAGAACACACCAAATTTCTATATATTTGTCTGTAGAAATGGGTTTCTAAATTTATCTTAGAGTGTAGAGGGCGCCCCAGAGAATATTCTGAGTATGTTGGGAGAGGAATTTATATATTACCAGATTTTGCTCTTAAAATAATTTTTTAGTTATGGTCAGAAGTTGAGAATGTAGATTGGAAATAAACTACAAATGTTCATGGTTGTATGTGTTTGTAAAATAAAAGTGTATAGCATACATCAATTAATAGTTTATACATTTTCTTTAATATAGATTTGTATGATTTTTAAAACCTTAAAGTTAATAGTGTATTCTTCATTTTTACCAGAGTTCATTTTAAACATGTTTGTTTAGGTTTTACTGCAATCACAGCGACCAACCCCATTTGGCTTATAAAGACTCGGTTACAGCTTGATGCAAGGTATGTTAATTCATTAAAACAAAATTAAAGTTGGTTCAACTAATTTTTTCCTGTAAATTTATATCTGTGAGATTTCAGTGCCATGTATCTAGCCATGTCTTTCCCCTCTTTTGCTGCTGATTTTGTTTTTTTGTTTGGTTTTTGAAACTTGGGTCTACCATCAAAAGCAAAAGTGATATAATAGTTGGCAATATGAGACTTTCTAGGGGAGAAAGTATATTATGTGTTGTGTTTTTAAATAAAAGAAAATGAAAGAAAAAGAATATGTATTAGCCTAGCCCAAGCAGTGATAATTTCACTATGTGAATGATTATAATTGGTCTCCCAACAGTTAAACAACCCATATGATCAAGTAGTCTAGATTAAATCTTGAAGGATCATTGCTCAAATTTATTAACCTATATACAGAGAGGCCTGGCATGGGATTTAGCTCTCATATATTCATAGACTTCATCTGTTATCAATGACCACTTTATGGGAGCAAAAATCATTCATGTGATAAATGTATGTTGAGCAGATATACTGCTCAGTTCTAGAGCTATACCAAGAAACAGTGGGGACCAACTTTAAATGGAATAGTCAGCGATTTTTTTTTTTTTTTTTTTTGAGCCCATTTTAAGCAGAAGCAGTGGTCAGTGCAAACCTCATAGGTCTTAAGTTTAGGGCCTTCAGCGTGTTTGGGAACCGATCAAAGTCCTGAAGCAGTACAGCTTAGAGTCTTGCCATCTTAATTCCTGTTGGCCTGTAGAATGGAGGATGGGGAAAAGGAAATACTTTTATAGAGAGACGATCCTATTGCTGTATAATAATAATAATAATAATACTTTTGAAATTTTTAGCCTTTTGGTCTGGAGTAGACTTGGAACAAATTTTCACTGTTATATTTTAGGGCTTGGGAACTAGTCTATATATCTCATAGACTATAAAACTGATCTAAGAAATCATTAACAATTATGCCTGTTTAAATATGTTTTCCGCATTCTGTCACGTTGAACTATATGCTATTTGGAGACTTGAAACATCTCTAATTCTTGTTTCATCCAGGATAATTGAAATGAAATCTTAAGCGTCGTGAAGCAAAACTCAAAGTTTACTTCTTAAAGCCAAAGATCTGAAAGGTAGTGGTAGTTAAAACAACCCAAAGGTTAGAGAAATGTGAAGATGCCAGTTGATATTATACTATTATAAACTACCAGGGTTATGCTTCAGTATGATGTAGGGTGGATCTTTGGGGGGTCCTGAGAAAAGTATGGCTTAAAACTCTATTATTTTTTCACCTACAATTGTAGCACAAGCCAACACAAGTTCTTAGGCTTGGGGTGATGGGGAATGGGGTGGGGTTGGTGTAGTAGTTTGAAGGTTGGTTTGAGGATGCTAATGTATAACCATGAAATCAAGAACAGGGCTGATGTGTTTGCATATTACCCTTTGGGACTTGTAGCATTTTAACTTCTCATGAGGAAGTCTCTGGCAGAAACTGATTACAATTGGTTTCATGGATCATTCAACAAAAAGTATTCATTCAATGTCATTAGTTGAGGACAGTTATTAGTTCAAGACAATAATTAGTTCATAAAACTGGAGGAATTTGTGGGTTATCAGTTGGGTGTCTTAACTGTGTTTTTGTTATGTCAGAAACAGGTTGTATATAATTTATACATAGGTAAATTTTCTATTTCTTTCCCTGTAGGTAGCATTTAAACCCATTTCTTATAAATAAGGGTCTATTGGGAGAATCATAGTGTAAGGTATTATTTTTATAAACTCAAAATTACATACTTGTATAAGAGTAGATACACTGCCGGGGCGCCTGGGTGGCTCAGTTGGTTGGGCGACTGCCTTCGGCTCAGGTCATGATCCCGGAGTCCC